GACTCAGAGGGCTTCAAAGAATTAAGTTACAATCATAACAAAACTCCTTTAATTTCCATGTATTATTTTTATGAACAAGGCTTCTCAGTGTTTGTATAAAAAACCCCTAAGGGCCGGGCGCGGTGGCTCACGCCTGTAATCCCAGCACTCTGGGAGGCCGAGGCGGGCAGATTGTTTGAGCTCAGGAGTTCATGGCCAGTCTGAGAAAGAGCGAGACCCCGTCTCTACTAAAAATACAAAGAAATTAATCGGACAACTAAAAATATATAGAAAAAATTAGCCGGGCATGGTGGCGCATGCCTGTAGTCCCAGCTACTCGGGAGGCTGAGGCAGGAGGATTGCTTGAGCCCAGGAAGTTTGAGGTTGCTGTGAGCTAAGCTGACGCCACAGCACTCTAGCCGGGGCAACAGAGTGAGACTCTGTCTCAAAAAAAAAAAAAAAACACAAAACCCCTAACATAGGAAAACAAATTGATGCTGGACCATTCTCACTCTAGCAAAAAGTGATAGTCACTCATGGGTACATGAACTAATCAAAAAAGCCCCATACATTCCATTAGAATATACATTTCCAAATAAAATTTTAGTTTGTATATTACTTATAAAAAACCAAAATATATTATTTCCATCATTTGTATACTAATAATAGTTGTGTGAACTCAGTTCAGAAGAAAAATCTTAATAATTAGATCCTTATGGCTTAACAATCTTAAATGTAGGGTCAATTCTCATTATTTGTGGTAGTTATGTTCTATAAAGTTACCTTGAATACTGAGTTAGTGGCAACTGCAAGATTGCCCCTAGGGGAAATACAGGGTTAGGTTCTGGTTACATTTTGTCAAACAATCAATATATAACCTTGTTTTATGTGTATTTTTGTTTGAAGACAGCTCATTTAATATACATTTCTTATGAATAATTATATGCAATATTCCTTTATAATAAAATTCTCCATTACAGCATCATGTAATTTACTGTACCATGATTGTACTAGTTCAACTGTTTCAGTCATACACAGTACACACATACAGTACTCACATAAACACAGATAGTAAACACATATAATACTGTGAACACATACTTTATACTATGTAGTACGGTAATGCAAATACAGAAAGTCCTGAAAAAAGCATTAAGCAAAGATTAGGCATTTAAAGTTTTATAAAAACTAACTGAAATCTTATTGTGAATGGAGCTGCAGGACATATGATGGTCAGTGCACTGTGGTTTAACCTCTTGACCTTGGCTTGCCCCAGGAAAACCAAAGGAGAGGTTGGTAGAACTTATCCTACAGAAGAGGAAGACATTAGTGAGGGTGGCATGTTGTGTTCTGGAAGATCTACCTTAGGAGTTTGTCTTCTGCAACTTGTTGATGGTGTTGGCAACTTCCCCTCTCAAAATGGCTTGAAAAATTGTTTTAGCCTTGTCTGCCTGGCTTTTCGCCTCAAATCTTTCAGTGTCTCAGAATAAGGGACAAACGTGGTGGAAGTTAGGCGCCTAAATGTGAGGCTGCATTCCAGCACAGGGTCACATTCTTCCATGTCATTGAAGATTTTTTCCAAGGCAGAATTCCATTCTGATATTTTGGCTGCTGTCAGAGGGACAATTCTTGGAGGCCTAGGGTGACTTTCATCACTGTCCTGACTTTCATCACTGACTCTGATGCCATGTTTTGCCATCTCATCCATGTCTTTTTTGGTGGGTTCTACTGCTTTCTCTGCCAAAATTTCCTCCACATCTTCTTCCTTCATGTTATTGAAACCTTCTCCACTTATTTGCTGTGCAATACATATTATGTTGTTGACATTGTTCTTTATATTTTCTGTAACACCGTCAAAGCCTTCAAAATTTTTCACACAGTCTGGCCAAACATTTTCCCAACAGTTATTGATAGTGGCCTGCTTAATGCTGTCCTAGGCTGTGCCAATATAATCAATGACATTGCGTATAGTGATTGATTTCCAGTAGTCTGTCATGGTGGTTTCCTCGTTTGCTTCAAGAGCCTCGAAAGCCTTACTATAAAGCTCCTTTAGGTAGTGTGCCTTGAAAGTTTTTATAATGCCCTGATTGAGGGGTTGGATGAGTGATGTAGTATTTGGGGGCATGAAAAGAACTTCTGTGTTGGGGTGGGCATTTTCAAGTTCTTCATGGCAATGAACTGGGGCATTATCCACAACTAATAAAACCCTGAAGGCAAGGTTTTTGCCCTGGAGATAGCGTTCAACTTCTGGGATGAAGCAGTGGTGGAACCAATCCCAGAATATTTCAGACACCATCCATGCATTTTTGTTCCATCTCCAATGGACTGGCATACAGTTCAGGTTTTTCCCTTTAAGTGCTCGTGGGTTTTGGACTTTGTACACCATTAGGGGTTTGCACTTAAAGTCGCCCTTAGCATTGGTGCACAATAGCAAGGTTGCGTGGTCTTTGAATGCTTTAAAGCCAGTGGCTTTGGAGACCGTTTGCACTACATAGGTTCGTTTGCCAACATTCTTGTAAAACAAGCTAGTCTCATCAGCATTGAAAACCTGCTCTTCAACATAACCCTTTTCATGTATAACACTTAGCAGGTATTTTTTAAATTCTTCTGCAGCCTCCTGATCTGCAGAACCTGCCTCATCTGCAAGTTTAAAATTTTTCATGCTGTATCGCCTTTTGAAACGTGCAAGCCAGCCCGCACTAGCTGAGAAGGGTTTAACATTTTCCTGGCCCTGGGTAACATGACTGTAAATTTCTTTGGCTTTCAGCCTCACAACAATGCTGTCCACTATACTTTTTTTATTGGTTGTCATCTCATGAATCCACAAATTTAGCTGCTTTTCCATCTTTTCCATAGCTTCATCACGCACTGTAGATGTTACCTTAGCACTTTCTGGAGCAGCCTCACGTACAGATCGGCAAATCTCCTCTTCCTTTTTCTGGATGTACCGTATTGTTGATTCATTAACATTGAACTCACGGCCAACAGCACTAAAACTCATGCCTGAACGAAGCTTATCTAACACACGTATTTTCTCTGTAAGACACATCACAGCTTTCTTGTGCTTAGGGATGTTAGACAGCATTTCAGCTCTATGTTTGGGGGCCATTTAAAAGAGTGAAATCACCACTAAAAAGCACAAACATTTGAAAAACATGGCACTAAATAGACTGAGAAAGGACATTTCTTTACAGTATGACTTTATATGGCCTTGTTCAAGCTCCACTGGAAATGTGTAGACAAGGAGATTCAAGTTTTTCAACTCTGTGCACGTGTCCATAAATGAGTGAGAAAGTGCCACAAGTACTGATTTTTGGGTTACACATAAATTTTAGCAGGTAGGTGAGTTCACAAATATAGAATCTATAAATGATGACTGTATTTATAGGGGTCTCTTGCCAAAACAGATAGTGTGAACAGTAAGATTCTCAAGCATAAAAATAAATATTTGAATACAATTCTTTGGGGGAAGTAGAATGGAAATAAGTTAAAGGAGAAAATAATTAATGTCTGACTTGTACATAAACTTCTTAGATTGAGAATGGGTGTATATTTCTATTATATTTAGAGTCTATTGGGCAGATTTTTTAAAAAAATGACATTAACAGTTTAATTTTAAAATGCCATTATCAGAGTATTAGAAATTACATCCTTTGCAACTATTTAAAATTATGAAGAAAAAACTTGGATGGTACATAATTTTTGAAAATTCTTTTAGGGAGAAGAGGAGCAAAATGGACCATGGGGTAGCTTTGGTTTTGCTGTTCCACTGAAAAAACAAATCTGTTTAATTTGGAGAACATATCAGCACTTTTTTTGTAGGAATTTTTCATTTCATCTCTCTTGGCATCTCTGAATACCCTGGTTTTGGTTTGTAATTTTAAAAGATTTGAACACTCTAATATGAAACTACAGTATTCCTTAGAGTGGCTGGATGGAATGTCATGATTTTCCCCTACAGAAGGACAAAAATGCCTTTAATGTCGTCTAATGCCAGAGTTCTAGATGTTTCAGTGTAAATGCCAACACTTAATGTCTTCATATGCAATTAAGAACAGAAATTTTCTTAACCAGTTAAAATGATCCTTAGATTAAAAAACAAAACCATAGAGCTTTTCTGATGTCTCAGGCTTCTCCTTAGATTTTTCTAGTTGTTGGTATTGTTCCTGGTTTCCTTAAACTTTCTTGCAATGGGTGAGGTCCAAACACTTTACGCGTGTACCCAGTGGCCCTCACAATTTTGTGTTGGACCAAAGCACTAGGCAGTCTGCACGCACCTCCCCTCCACTGTTCCGTATGCCAGTTTCTTCTCGGCTGACTTTATTCGCTGTCACGTAACCGTCTATTAATCATTCATGAAGCACATGGCCTGATTCAGGAAAGAAAACATTGCACTTTAATCCCAACATGCATAATTTATGTTGCTTAATTATTTTAAAGTCTTCACATGAGAATAATAACTGCACTCCCCGTGAACTCAGGATAGAAAGAAGAGACACCAGGTTCTCTCCCAACCCTTTTGGGGATGCTCAAGCCGCCAAGGCGGAATTCTCCGGGGCCCCTCTAGGCAGGGCAGTGTCCAACTGGGCGAGGTTGACGACCCGGCGCGGGGAGGCGGGGGCCGCGCGTGGGGGCCGACTGGTGCGTTGTGTCCGCGGGGGCGAAGTCAGGGACTGGGCGCCGGAAGGAGGAGGCCGCGCGGGGCCTGGCCTGGTGGGATGGGTCCGCGGGGCCGAGGTTGAGGCCGACGATTGGGCGGGAGGAAGGGGTGGCCGCGCTTGGGGATCGATCGGGTGGGCTGCCTCCGCGGGGGGCGAGGCCGAGGCCCACGACTGGGCCTGAAGAGGAGGTCACACATGGCCAGTTGGTGGGCTGCATCCGCAGGGTTGAGGACCCAGGGCCGGCCGGAAAAGGCCGCGCAGGTTGGCGGGGCGCGGTCTGATAGCGTCACTTCCGGCGCCGGGCCACTTCCGGGTGCGGGAAGGGGCAGAGTTTGGTGCATCCTGGGAGGAAGGAAAGAGGGTGAGGAGAAGCGGCGGCCAAGCGGCCTGTGCCGGGCACGGCTGGGTTGCTCCGGGCCGCCAGGGGCTGCTCGCCGGGTCGCCCTCCCTTCCTGCTGACGCCGCCCGCCGGGGCCCGCGCTCGGCCTGGTCCGCGGCCTCCCCGCCGCCGGTCCGCGGCGCTCAGCGCTTGTGCTCTGTGTTGCAGGTCTACCCGGAGCCTCGGAGCGAGAGCGAGTGCCTGAGCAACATCCGCGAGTTTCTGCGCGGCTGCGGGGCGTCCCTGCGGCTGGAGGTGAGCGTGGCGGCGGCACCGAAGGCGGGCCCGGGAGTGCGGAGGCGGGCTCGGGGTGGGCACCGGTCTCCGGCCGAGTCGCCTGCCCACTCTGCGCCCGGGTCTGACCGGGCCCGGCCGCTCAGGGGTACGGGGTGTTCGGAGCGGGGCGTTGCAGATTCAGGTAACGGCCCGGAGGAGGCGGCGGGCGGGCCGCCCCAGGGCAGGGAGGAGCCAGTGAGTGGAACCTAAAACATTAGCCTCGCTCCAGTGAGGAAGGGTGCTTTTAGCTTGTGGTGCAGGTGACACACATTTTAATATCCGTTTGGCAGAGGTGTGAACCGAGGCACCTGCTTCAGCCTGGACTCTGCTTTTACAGATTCCCGTAGGACTCGCGTCCAGGTATGGGTCAGTCCTCAGAATCCTCAGTAGGTGATCAGGCAAAGCTGGGCCAAATGGGCCAAAAAACCCTTCTAGCTTCACTCCTTTCTTTCTCTGCTTTTTTTTTACCTCAGACAAGAAATGAGGTCGTTTTAATGGATGTCTAACACTTAATGTTTAGTTTAGAGAATTCATATTACCTGTATTTGGGGTTTGTAAAACATGCTTTTGGGGAACATACCGGGCAGGGTGTCTTCCATTTTGCATAATGTTTTGTCACCTTACTCAGCGTTGTCTTTTCGGATTTTCAGTGGCAGCTCTTTTAAAATGTCTCTCTTTCGTTTTATTTTTTCATTCGTGATTTTTCTTATTCTTAGGGTAGTGCTTTAAATTCAGAAATCTAGCATAGCTTGTCTTGGGAACTGCAGGCTGAAGTGGTTGCAGTTTTGTATTTAAATCTTGCTTTTTATGTTAACATTACCACTCTTAGCTTTAGTTTCCTTATCTGCAAACTGAGACAAGTTATGCCATGCTCCTTGATGACAGTATAGTTGGCCCTCCCTGTGGTATCAGAGGGTTGTGCATCCGTGGATTCACCCAACCTCGAATGGAAAATATTGAGGGAAGGAGAATTCAAAAACCAACAATACAACAATAAAAAATGATACAAATAAAAATACAGTATAACAGCTACATAGCATTTACATTGTATTGGGTATTTATAAGTAATCTAGAGTTGATTTAAAGTATATGGGACTAAGCCATTTATATAAGGAAGTTGAACATCTGGGGTTTTGGTATCCACAGGGATCCTGGAACCAATCCCCCCTGGATACCAAGGGACGACAGTATATGAAAGCATCTTTGGTAGAACCTGTTCTGTTGGCATGACCCAATAGAGGTTTCCCTTCCTGAAGGATAGTCTCTTGCTGTAGGTGTCTTGGGAAAAAACTAGAAGCCATCAAACTGTAAGGGAAGATTATATGGAAAGCTTATTTAATTGAAATTAGACATGTAGGACGGGGTAGAGATTAAATACCACAGTTTTTGTTAACGACTGTAAACATGAAGATATTTATTGTTGGTAGTATTTGATGTCTGTGAGGAAATCATTACAGGTGAATGAAAGTGCTTTGGGAGAGAGTCCAAGAAATTCAGGGCTCTTTAAAGGGGGTGGGGAGAAGACATTGTTTCAGTAAAGAGTAAGGTCTTTCCCTTTGTCGTATCAGCTTTGTCATTATATAATCCAGCTTCCTAATTTGGTTGTAATAATATGCTTTGCTAGTAGCAGTTTTTACTTTTTTTTGGCCTTTGTTGTGGGATTTTATTATCCTCTTTAAACTACTGAGTTTTGCTTATGTTATTACATTTTTGAATCTCAGTTTGCACATTAAGATAATCTGACAACCATAGTGTAAGACTTTTAAAGAAAGTATTGTTTCAAAGAAAGTTGAGTGTTAAACTCATTTTTAGTTTTCCAGCTGATGTTTTATATAGCAACTATTTTTTTTTATAATTTAGTTTATTTGCAGTTGCTCTAGAAGAGTTTGTTCACTAACATATCCGAAGCATCTAGAACAGTGCTTGTCATATAGTAGGCCTTCAGTAAATATTTGTTACTAATTAAATGAGCTTGAAGCTACAGTTGATAGCAAATATGTTTCATTTTAAAGAAGTCAGTTTTGACTTATTTTGTGCTGTAGAGTATATAATTTAAAATAGATGCAAATGTTAGCATTTTTCAAGCTTAGTATAAGTCACATTTTAAACTCCTAATTACCTAGGAGATAAGAAAATTTTAAGAAAATAGCACACGAAAAACCTCGTAAATATTTCAGTCACTGATTTTTAGGAAGTTACCCCGAGAAAGGAACTGTGTATCTAGCTCTGGCTTCTAGCCTTGTCGTCTGTGGTGTGAAGAGACAGGGCTGTGTCCTGAAAGGCTTGCCCTGTGAACCACAGTGCAGCAGTTTCCCAGTGTGTATTTTTTTTTTATTTTTTTTTTTAAGACAGAGTCTTGCTCTATTGCCCGGGCTAGAGTGCCGTGGCGTCAGCCTAGCTCACAGCAACCTCAAACTCCTGGGCTCAAGCGATCCTCCTGCCTCAGCCTCCCAAGTAGCTGGGACTACAGGCATGCGCCACCATGCCTGGCTAATTTTTTCTATATATGTATTTTTAGTTGTCCAGATCATTTCTATTTTTTAGTAGAGACGGGAGTCTCGCTTTCTTGCTCAGGCTGGTCTCGAACTCCTGACCTTGAGTGATCCACCCGCCTCGGCCTCCCAGAGTGCTAGGATTACAGGCGTGAGCCACCTTGCCCAGCCTTCGCAGTGTTTTTTTTTTTTTTGAGACAGAGTCTCACTCTTTTGCCCAGGCTAGAGTGAGTGCCGTGGCGTCAGCCGAGCTCACGGCAACCTTACACTCCTGGGCTCGAGAGATCCTTCTGCCTCAGCCTCCCGAGTAGCTGGGACTACAGGCATGCGCCACCGTGCCCGGCTAATTTTTTCTACATATTTTTAGTTGTCCGATTAATTTCTTTCTATTTTTAGCAGAGACAAGGTCTCGCTCTTGCTCAGGCTGGTTTCGAACTCCTGAGCTCAAACAATCCACCCGCCTTGGCCTCCCAGAGTGCTAGGATTACAGGCGTGAGCCACCGCGCCCGACCGTCTTCCCAGTGTTTTTAAAGAGAATTGCTTAGGGAGTGGGGAAGATAGGACATTGGGTTTTTGAAATTTGTTCTAGCATTTACACATTTCATTTTCACAAAATTCTGAAAGGTGGTTGAATGATAAGAAACATTTTGAAATTATACAAACACGAAACTTAAAACTGATAGCTTAAATTCTAGATTAGCTTTTTCCTTGTACAGTTATAAATGTCAAGGTGCTTTTTTCCGGGGATTAGTTTAGATCGAATTGTGTTTGTAGCAGACTGTTTTTGGTATATATATTTTTTTGTTTACTTCCAGTTTAAACTCCTAAAATTTCTTACAGGAAAAGAGGAACTGAACTTTATAGTTAATGTATCAGTTATTGTAATGCATACACATCTTAATTAGCTATGGAAAATCAGATGTTATCTCCCAAAGTGTTCTAATTATGAAAGGAGTTTTATAAATTTTAAAGGAATATGGTGCAGTTTGCATTTATTGTTAAAATTTTGGGAGCATTGTAGGTTTTAAATTGTAAAACGTTTTTAAATTTGAAAAATTAAAAAAATTTTAAATTTGGACAATTTTGTGTTGGAAAGCAGTGCGTGCACACAACTTAGATGATGACCTCTTCATATTCTTAGAACTTTTTCTTTGCTCTTCAGCATGTGTCTTTTTTGAATCTTTTTTCTATTAGGACAAAAATAAACTGGGCATAGCAATGCTAATTTCCCTCCATTTGTATCTCAAAAACAACCAAAATAATAATTATTCATAACAAGAATAGGAATGATGATGACGATGATGTGTTTAGAATTTCACTTAGGGGGAAGTGACTTAGTGAGGGAAGCCAAGCAAGTGAGAGGACATTTCTTTGCACTTCATCAGATCAAGAATAATTTCTGTTTTCCATTATTTTGCTCTCTTATTTCTGAATTTTAATTTAAGTGTTGCAGCTACTAGGATATGTGTATGTGCACACGCACTTGTGTTTTTTGTTCCTTCAAACTCACGATAAATTAGCTTCTAAGATTTTCCTATCCAATACAGTATTATCTAATTAAGCATCTGACAACTGTTGAAGCAGGCGAAACTAGCAAAAGCAGAGTTTGTGTTCCTAGGAAAAAGTCGTGATACTTCTGGTGTGTTTACCACCTTTTTATTTGAAGATCTAAAATTAAGGATATAGTTGTTTACATGGTACATCATGAAATGAAGCCCAAATTAATAACATGTTTCTGGGATGTTAGCAACAAAATTATTATTTATTATAATATAGCTATGAACTTTGATGTAGTTCTGTTTGAAGGAAAAATGTCTCCTGTTCTCAATATTTAGTTACATTCACAAATATTCAGAAATATATATATATATAATATGTATGGTTTTTGTATGTAAAATTTGAAAAGTTGACAGAAGAGATTAACTTCAGCATTATTATAAACTCAGGTATTTAAGTTTATTGAATTTTCCAGCTACTGTACAGTCTAAATTGTAATTATGAAGTGAGAGCCGTATTTGTCTTGTGCCATTCTCCCTCCCGTAGATACTTTTCATAGTTTCCTAGCATAATCCTCTACCCGGGTGAGATCAGCCATTCTTGAAAGCAAAAGAGGATTCTTATGGATGACCAAAAAAGGATAATCCTGTCTGATAGTATAATATTAATGAGGCTTTTTGCTTAAGAACTGACTGTGCACTCCCATACAATGTTAGCATCATTGCTTTCAAGAGAAAAACAAAACATTTCAGATGAAACTGGATGGACCTGTTCTCATAATTGCCAAGAAGGAATAAAGCCAATCTGTCAAGTGAAAGCAAACCACAACTCCTTTTCTCATAGGCTATTTCTGGAACAGGCATGTTTGACCTGATAGGAAAGGTAATCTAATTCAATTGATCTTCTCAGCTTCTTGGCACATCAGCTAATACTAAAATTATCTGCTGGTTTCAAAATCACTGTTCATTTATTTAACTGTTCTTCTGGAAA